CCCTTTTGCACTGCCCCTAATAAGCCCCAACTCTGCTCAGCCCTGCACACCCCTACTCAGCCTGGCTCAGCTCAGCCTGGATTTGCACCTGCACTTTAGGACCGATTCTGGATGCGTGTCCAGAATCCAAGTCCTGCTAATGACAGTTCTGCAATGAGTTAAAATCAAAGCAGTCTGCTCCTCAGATAAATAATAATAAATTATTTTTCTATATGAATGTTTCTGTTAACTTATTTTATATATGAATATTTCTGTTCAGTGTCCTGACACGACTTCTGTTGTGACTTGGTGCTGTATAAATAAACTGAACTGAATTAAATCTGATGAACCAGATTCTACAAAAACATTTATATTTAAATCAAAAAAAGTTAAGTCTGGTCCTCTGGACGTTCAAAAAACAAAATAAGAAAAAAAAAAGGTAGAAATGTTTCGTCTTTCATCCGAAATACTTCAGTCTGAGGAGCTGTATTCAGCTCATGGCTATTTAAGAGACTGAGCTGAATACAGCTCCTCAGACTGAAGAAGTCTTTCGGAAGAAAGAAGAAACATTTCTACTTTTTTTTGTTTTGCTTTTTGAACGTCCAGAGAACCAGACTTAACTTTTTTTGATTTTTCTACCTGGATTATTGAGCATGCATCAGGATATCTATATTTAAAATTCTATATTTTTCTTCATCATTTGATGTATTTGCACTCATTGTGGTTTTGTTTCTTGTATAAAGATTATTTTTAATTAGCTTTGAATTAAAGTTTAGCTTTGATTTAAAGCTTTAATTTAAAGTGTAATGCTTGTTTTGTGATTTGTACATCTGTGGGTTAGAATAATGTTGAACCAAAAGCTGTGTCTCTTCTTTAAACATGTTAGAGGGAAATATGAGAGATTCAGTAATTTTGTCTTTTTATAATTTTTCAGTTGAATTAACTTTAATTAACAGATTATTTAATAAAATCAACGGGAAAACAGGATTTCACGATAAAGTCGGCACCGTTTATTTATTTTTAATCTTCACTGATAAAATTTTTTTATATTTTATACATAAAATGTAAAAAAATAAAACGTTTCCACCCTCCGTCCCTCCATCCCGGTCCTCCCGCTTGCCAGGGCTCAAATCCGGCCTTTGTGAGCAGGCGAGGCCGGGGCTCGGGGTTCGGCCTCGCGGGCTTCAACGGCTCGGCAGCTCGTATGATCCTCCGCAGTGACTCCGCTCGCTCAAATTTTATAGTCGGTCACCAAACACAAAATATGCCTGGACTTCAGAATTAAACACGGCGTTGTCATTATTGTTTTTAAAATCTTAAAAATAGATCCAGCCGCTGCTCCACATTCAGAGAAATTGCAAATGGCGGCTCTGTGAAAAGTTTCTGAGATCCAGTGACTCCTCCCCCTGACCAATCAGAGTCATACGTTCACGTTTGGTCTGAACTCAGCTCGGCTAAGCTTGCTCGGTCCCACCAGAGAAGCATGGACGAAAAGAGGTCCTGAATCAGCCTCAAATCAGCTAAATATACTAGCTAAAGTACTGGTGCAAAAGGGTTCTTTCTGTGGTGGGCTGTGCAGAGTTGGGGCTTATCAGGGGCAGTGCAAATGAGGCAACAGAGCCAAATGAGACAAACAACCATTCACTCTCTCACTCACACCTAGAGACAATTTAGAGTTGCCAATCAGTCTAACATGCATGTTTTTGGTCTGTTGGAGGAAACCGGAGTACCTGGAGAAAACCCACGCATGCACAGAGAGAACATGCAAACTCCACCCAGAAAGGCCCCCGGACCAGGATTTGAACTGGCAACTTTCTCGCTGAGAGGCAGCAGCTCTACCAGTTGCGCAACCATGCTGCCCAGGTGCTAAATCAATTTAAATAATTTCTAAAAAAAAAATAAAAATCCATGCCGATCGTGCATCTCATCTCATCAGCCAGTTGTGTGTCAAGTCCAATGTTACTTTGAAAAACGGCAAAAGAGCGAGTCTGCGAAAGTTGAACCTCGAAGAAGTGAGGGACTACTGTACTGAACAACCTTTACAATCATCGTGCTTGCACAAAGGGGACCCATTTGTGTTGTGAACTCACCTTGGCAGCCTTGGTGGGGGCAGCTGCTGTTGGCGGACGCTTGGCAGCGGTGGGTGTGGTCGCCTTCGGCGCGGGACTTTTTTTATTAGCTGTGGTGGGGGAGGGGCGTTTGGCCGAGTTGGCCACATTATTGGTAGAGAGAGTGGATGGACGCGATTTGGCCGAGTTTGATTTGGTTGAACCCACATCAGGCTGGTGACAAATGAAATAAAAGAAGCCATGATTGCAATATAAAAAAAAACATCAAAGGGGATGAAAAAGAGACAAAATAAGACACAGAGAAAGGAAGCAGCACTAAAATCAGATAAACGACAGCGTGATATGGCAGCACAGCCAGTAACCATATGGCAATCATAAAACAGGTCATAAATGATCAAATTTAATTAGCAAATTAAACGCACCTTGGAAAGCTTATGAGCTGAGCATTACAAAAGTATCAAATAAAACAAAGTGTGAAGCAGCTCAAAGATGTGGAAATCATTCATGCACATAACTGAAGATCCAGCAAACAAGCACGGCTATCTGAATATCACAAACCTTATCTGTGGGTGAAAATGTGTGTGATGTAGAAACCATGGAGAGATAAGAGCGTTTGTGAAACCAATGGATCTTCTGCTGTAGTCTGTGCAGGATCTGTGTGGATCTGTGCAGGATCTGTGTGGATCTGTGCAGGATCTGTGTGGATCTGTGCAGGATCTGTGCAGGACGTGTGCAGCGCGCACTGTGTGTGTTTCTGACACTCACCTTGCTCTTGCCGTCAGGGCTCGCCACAGTCTTGCTGCCGTTGCCTGTGGGAGACTTGGCCGTTCCTTTTCCTCCCTTCTCCTCTTTCTTCTCAGACCCCTTTTTCTCTTCCTCCTTCTTGTCTTTGTTCGTCTTCTCTGGCTTGTCCACCTTCTCTGGCTTCTCGTTGGCCTTGTCGTTTTTCTCTGCGTTTATCATCTCCACCTTTTCCTCATTTTTGAGGATTTTCTCGGGCTTTTGATTTTTGTCAGCGTTGTTGTCCTTCTGCTGCTCTTCCTTCTTGTCTGAGGAGTCGAGCTTGTCTGGCTTGCTGGGGACAACGTTTGTCTTCCCCTGCTTGTCCTTATTGTCAAGATTCACTGCAAGAAAAACAAGTTGATCAATTATTGACAACCTATTTTAACAAGACAACATTTGATAAACATTAGAATATATAAGGAGGCATGTATATATCTTAAGGAAAGAACAAGCTGAATGTGCTGTATCATATTTCATGGTATAAAATGGGAAAAATACCCTGTGAATCAGAACAGAAATTCAGAATTTATATTCTCACTAAAAGAAAATGCTTTTTTAAATAAAATATTTTTACCTAAAAAGGCCAATTCATTAACGAAAAACTTGGAGCAATAATAATATTTTTTTTTTAAATACTTGAATTTGCAGCACAATTTGGTTGTTTACTTTCTATTATGCAAAAATATTAAATATTTAATTTCTGGCAAACAAAAGGCTACTGTTTAGAAAATGTACGGTCATGATTTGAACAAATCCAGGATGATTACGTGATACAAACAGGTGTGCAGAGCAGCTGAATCCTCACTGACTCAGCTGCTGATTTACTGTTGTTGATTGCAATACTTCATTTTTTGTGGCTTAAGGAACACAAATGAGTTATACATTTTAAAATGAACCAAAAGTTGCTCGCAAAATAGCTCGTTATAAAAGAATGACAGCATGAAATGCAGTACCAGCCGTGCGCGTTCACCTTGACGATCTCAAACCACTTCGTGGCCAGAATTTTGACGAGGCCTTCAACGCAACAAACACCGTTGACAGATGTTAAATAATGAGGCTGCTGTCAACAGGTGGCTTATAAACAGTAATTATCACATAAGCCATAAATGAGCCACAAACACAACAGATTCCACACAGATTACCATCAGATGACCTAAATAATTGGCTCCATTCTCATATTCCCATCTAGTTTAGTTAAAATTAAAATTAAAAAGTATATTGTGTGTTAAAATGCTGACACGTAGAAGATAAATAACTTGTTTTCTAGTAAATGTTGAGGACAAAATAAATCTGTCATATTCTTAGGGCATATTTAGTCTGTGTTAATGAAGATAAAATAACTTTTAATAGTAAAAACCTGATGGTGGGATCTGAAATTGGATGATGTGGTCATTATCTTTTTGTTAAAGTGCATGATAAAACAGTAAATAAAAATAATTTTGTCTATAAACACACAATACATTTTATAAATAAAATAGAGCTGAGAATGAGCATCTCACTGTTGTAATTTTGTTACTGAAATACAGTAAATCACATTGCCACTGTGCACATTTACCAGTGTTGTTCAAAAAGTTACATAATTTAACAAAGTTGGGAACTGCAATGATTTTTGCCATTATTATTAAAACCTATCTGTGTTTGTCCATTTGAAAGAGATAATCTTAAAAATTATATGCTGTAAAGATAATGTCTAACCAAACAGTTGCTGCTCCATCCACCCTTTGTTAAAATGTCTTGATGACATCAAGACTTGGATGGCTGCGAACTTCTTGAGTTTTAATGATCAGAAGACTGAGGTCATTGTGTTTAACCCAAGGTCTACCACTGTCACTGATCCTGTAAACCTGCACTCCCTTCAGCTTCATTTAAAGCAGTCGGTTACCAATCTCGGGGTAGTGTTAGACTCGGACTTTAAGTTTAATAAACAGATCAACTCTGTGCTACAAAAAAGCTTCTTTCAGCTAAGGCAGATAGCAAAGCTTAAGTCCGTTCTGTCCAGATCCGACCTTGAAAAACTAGTCCATGCATTTATTACAACCCGGCTGGACTACTGTAACTCACTTTATGTTGAGGTCAGTCAGGCTTCACTCTCACGTCTCCAGCTCGTACAAAATGCTGCAGCTCGGCTACTAACAGGAACTCACAGGTTTGAGCACATTACTCCAGTTCTGTCCTCCCTTCACTGGCTTCCTGTGCGTGTCAGAGTTGATTTTAAAATTCTCCTGCTGACATTCAAGTGCATTAACGGCCTTGCACCATCATACCTCTCTGACCTTCTTCAGCCTTATGCTCCTTCTCGGGCTTTGAGATCATCAGACTAGCTGCTTTTGGTCGTACCAAAAACCAGCTGAAGCTCAGAGGAGATCGAGCGTTCTCAGTCGTGGGCCCTAAACTTTGGAACAATCTGCCCATCAACATTCGACAGGCCACCTCAGTCTCTGCTTTTAAATCTCTCCTAAAAACACACCTGTACTCATTGACATTTAACACAGGGTGATCGGATTTAGATCTAGTTTTTCATTGATGCTGATTCTGTTTATGCTTTTGTTATTATTTCTATTTAACACAAGGTCATCAGATCTGATTTAGTATTTCATTGTTTCTAATTATGTTTTCGGTTTTATATTTTTATTCCATGTGCTGTAAATATATCTTGCTACTTTTTATTTAATGTTGTGATATTTTTGTTAAGCACTTTGGTAACAGTTTCTGTTTTAAATGTGCTCTATAAATAAATCTGACTAAATCTGACTTGACTTGACTAACCTGGTGTAAAACTCATTTAGGTTCCATCCATCCATCCATCCATCCATCCATCCATCCATCCATCCATCCATACATCCATACATCCATACATCCATACATCCATACATACATACATACATACATACATCCATACATCCATAAGATGATGACCACATAAACAAGACAAGCAACCATTCACTCTCTTACTCACACCTCGGGACAGATTACATACCAGTTAATCTAAAATAGATGGTTTTGGTTTGTGAGAATAATTTGTGATACTATATAAAATTAAATGCCTTGCGGTTCGTGAAGGCCCACCATCTTTCATGCCAAACTTTTAAGCTATGCTTATTTTTTTGATGACAAGGAACAGAGTTATCATTGTTTTCACCAAACCTTATAAGATATTTCTCATGTGAGATCTCACACGTTGTGTTAACCCTCAGTGTGTGTTGAGAATGACCCTTAACTACTATCACACCAAAGTTTAGCTCAGTATCTTTAAAACTGCAAGAGTTAGACAGTTTTGTGTTTGCTAACTGTGGCAGCCATCTTGAAGCAGTTTAACTCAAAAGGTTAATCAGTTATACATGCATATTCAGTGATTACTTACTGAAAGTTTAATTATAATTTGTCCAATGGTTTTTACTAACACCACGGATAAATGAAGACATGCACAGATATGGGCAAATATATTATTGACCTGAATGATTTGAATAGTGAATGCGTGTACTTTTCAAGATGAGTGTTTTCTGGACTGAAATTGAACAGGTAATGTAAGTTACTTACTGTCAAAAATTGGGTTGCCATGCCAAAATCCAACATGGCCACTGGATTCTGGTGTGGCAACCCAATGTTTGATAGTAAGTATAAGTGCTGTAGGTTGTCATCATTGTATGTTCCCATACAATGACGAAATTAGTTCTCTGCATTTAACCCATCGCACATGAGATACACCCAGGTGAAGCAGTGGACAGCTACTGAGCACTTGGGGAGCAATTGGGGATTAGGTATCTTGCTCAGAGACACCACGGCATGTGGGAATGGCTGGGAGTCGAACAGCGACTTTCTAGTCCCAAGTTGGCTGCCCTTCCTCTATCCCTATCTAAATCATATCTATCTGATATATTCCAATTTGTAAATTTAAATAATGAATCTTCATCATACACCAAAGTTAGTCATGGAGTTCTTCAAGGTTCAGTGCTTGGACTAATACTATTTACCTTGTATATGCTTCCATTAGGTAAAGTTAAGTCGAAGCATATGACCGCTTGTCCTGAGCCTGGTTCTGCTAAAGGTTTCTTCCTCATGAGGGAGATTTTCCTTTCCACTGTCGCCTTCATGCTTGCTCAAGATGAGAGTTCTGCGGTCTGCTCCTCAGATAAATAGTGTTAATTTATTATTTTTATATATGAATGTTTCTGTTAAGAGTCCTGCAATGACTTCTGTTATGACTTGGCGCTATATAAATAAACTGAACTGAAATGAATCCCATCTCGGCCCCAGTAACCTTTCTTACACCAAGATATAGCTACACACAAAATGGAAGTTGACACGTTGCTTATTTTTGACCCAATCACTTGAGGAAACTATACTTAAAAGCAATATAAAAACTAGAAAACATAAGTTTCTTCAAATGATTAGGGTGGTTGGTTTACCTATATACATAGTGGCAGCCATCTTGGGTTTTGATGTAGCAACCCAATTTTCAATAGGAACCTTTCTTATGTCTAGGTGCAGCAACACACCAAAATGGAAGTTGGTACCTCACTTATTTCCAAGTTATCAAGCTCACATAATGGACGGACAGATGGAGGGTAGTTCCAATACCTCACTTCGCTCCATGACGGAGGACCAAAAGCTGTCCTACTTTTAGCTAAAAGCCAAGCATAAACCAAATGCTTTAGTCACCTGATTATATGATATTCCCTGTTTTTATACTTAAGCTCCCTTTTCACTTTACAGTTATTTCACAAAATCTTTGAGCATCTGACCTGAAAATGCTTCAGTATCAACTTGAATAAAGTCTAGAGACTAACCAAAGAGACACCTTGCATGCAGTTCTAATGAGTTTTCACCAACAAAATATATCACATCTGCTGCCAGCTGCTTCTACACTTCTGTTATTTATAGATTTGAACATCCAAGTGGAAGATTCTATGTAGGTCGTAGCAGCAGATGATTCTGGGTCTGCTTGGTAAACAGGACAACCCATTTGGTCTAATGCGTCGCTTTATGTAAGAGTTCACTCACAGTGGTGACATGATGGCTCTTTTAAATCCAAGTCAGTGGGGTCATTTCCAGCACTGACGGACGAGGTGAACACACTGTTTCAAAAGCACACAATTTCATCATGTCAACTTTAAGACTCTTTCCGTTGCCAGTTTTCTTTTAAAACATTTTAAAGTTTGGACAATGAGTTGTACATGCTTTCAAAAGTCTTTCTCCTCTGCAAGTCATTTACAGCTAAACTCATGCGGAAACTGACAAGAACACTTTTTACAGTTACTCCAAGCTGTGTTAAAAATAAGTGTTGCAATTTAAAATGCTTGACTTTTGATGCATCAGGAAGTTTTCTGTAATTGTGAATCAC